GATCTGCGAATTCCCAATCCAGACTTCCGGAAGCTGCTCGTTTACCCGGTTGATGTCAAGAGGATCGAAGATATCCCCTTGTTCGACTTCTTCTATTTTCATTCTTTCTTTGTTCTCGTCGCTCTTCTTTGTGTTCTTGAAGGTGGGGGGATTCATTGTCGGGATTTACACTAGCCATGTCGTGTTTGATGGGATCTCGGGGTGCCAGTTCTTCAGCGACATCGGCAGGATCTCTCGCGGCGAGTCCATCGGGCTCCGCTCGCGATCGCCACCGAGAATCTCCTACGCCTACCCGGAGCTCATGAGACTCCCGGACATTCCCGCGAAGCTGCTCTTCAATCCGGCCTCGTGCACGCCTTCAGGACGTTCTCCTTCTCTCTCGCGCAGCTCGATCTTCTCAAAAAAGAGCTATCGAGGGAGGAGAGGTCTCCCGCTGCTCCACCTTTGAGGCCCTCACAGGCCACGTCTGGAAGGCACGCACCACCGCTCTTGGGATGAACCCATCCGCCATCGCCAAGCTCTTCGTGGCGATGAACCTCCGGGACAAGCTCAAGAGCCCGGCGCTACCCGACGGCTTCACGGGCAACGCGGTGGTGGCGGCGCCGTACGTTGACACCACCGCTGACTCGGTTATCAATGGCTCGCTGTCGCTGTGTGTGCGCAAGGTCCGGGATGCAATCGCGAGCGTGAACGAGGAGTACATCCGGTCGGAGATCGACTGGTGCGAGGTCAATGGGCACGGGATCATTGAACTGCCCGGCGGCATCACACCCTGGTCAAAGCTGCCTTTTGATGGCGTTGACTTTGGGTGGGACATTGCGGCCCCGGTCAACGACAGGCCCAAGAACGTGTTGGTGCTGTCTAGCTGCAAAGGAGATGGCAGCGTGGACGTGTTCATGGCTCTGGAGTTTCACAAGATGAGAAAGCTGGAGGAGTGCCTTAGTATATGAGTGTTTTGTTTGTACATTGAGTTTAATCTGTCAGCAAGTGAATGTATTCTTATATTTTATTTTTCATTTTCTCATAAAGGTATAGAAACTATAAGAAGTTAGGTTTAAGATTATAAAACGTAAAGGGTTCTTATATATTTTCATTTATCATATTATGAAAATTAATACAATTTTAAAACCATTTCAACAAACTAAAATTGATTAGAATAGATGAATGATGAACAAGTAATATACTAGATTCAAGATAAGATAATATATTAATATATACTGTTTTGGTATGAATTTTTTTATGTTTTCCTAATTTATATTTTACTTCACAGTTTGTACAATATATTAATAAGTTGAAGATATGTAAAATAAATTAATACTAATTTAGCAATGAAATTAAGTTATGTGAGGTCCAAGTGACGCCAAGGTTTTGGGCTAGATGATGTAAAGTCCAAATGTACGGCTATAATGCCGTATATTAATATTAGCGTAATGGGATTTTAGTAGTAATTGGATTAGTTTTAATCTAAATCACTCGCTCTTGTATATAAACTAGGGTTTTTGGGCTTACATGTGATCATGGGATGAGATTTGGATATATTGTCACTATAGATCCTTGGAACCTTGGGGGGTAAATGAGGATAAAATAGCCACTAAAAGTTCTCTTATCAAGCAATTACCTCTTTTCCAGTTGGCTTAAGGGAAGAGAGATAAAGTATCCACAGACAAAGGTATCCATTGTGGGACTGCATAAGATTTCTTCTTGTGTGGAGTATCCACAGACAAAGGTATCCATTGTGGGACTGCGTAAGATTTCTAATCCTCAATGAGGACATTGACATCTCTAAAGGGGGCACCGTGGGACTGCGGTTCCACAATGGAAGGTTCCACAATGGAAGGATTGGTAAATTGAGTGTGGAAATGGAGGTATTGTTAGTCAATAGTCAATAAAGACATTAACATTTCTAAAAGGGGCACCGTGTAAGATTAATAGTCAATAAAGATATTAACATCTCTAAAGGATTGGTAAATTGAGTGTGGAAATGGAGGTATTGTTAGTCAATAGTCAATAAAGACATTAACATTTCTAAAGGGGGCACCGTGTAAGATTAATAGTCAATAAAGATATTAACATCTCTAAAGGGGGGGCACCGTGTAAGATTAATAGTCAATAAAGATATTAACATCTCTAAAAGGGGCACCGTGTAAGATTAATAGTCAATAAAGATATTAACATCTCTAAAAGGGGCACTGTAGGACTGCGGTTTCACAATGGAAGGATTAGTAAATTAAGTGGGGCACCGTGTAAGATTAATAGTCAATAAAGATATTAACATCTCTAAAAGGGGCACTATAAGACTGCGGTTTCACAATGGAAGGATTGGTAAATTAAGTGTGGAAATGGAAACTGTAAGATTACAGTTTCACAATGGAAGGATTGGTAAATTAAGTGTGGAAATGGAAGTGTTAAGTTCCTTTGTGGAAATGGAGGTGTTGATTCCCCTAAGCTCAATAGGAAATTGAGTGTGGAAATGGAAGTATGTGGTCTGGTTCCATCATTCCTTGGCTCCATGCTTAGGAGTTTGGCATCGTTCCTTCGTTTAGTGGCCTAAGGCTTTGAACCTTAGTTTCCACACCACTGTTTTATTGACACATGGCATGTGACATGTGGCATCTGACATATGGCACATGGAGGGTTTAGTTTCTGCTTCGTGGTGTTATCTTATAGTAAATCACCATAGAATAAAGAGTGCGGAAATGGAAGTGTTAGTTCCCCTTGGCTTAGTAGGGGTTGTTAGTCAATAGTCAATAAAGACATTAACATCTCTGAAAGGGGGTGAGTGTAGTGCATGTGATCATGGGATGAAATTTAGATATACTGTCACCGTGAATCCTTGGAACCTTAGAGGATAAATAAAAATAAAATAGCCACTAAGGGCTCTCTCATCAAACAATTACCCCTTTTCCAGTTGGCTTAAGAGGAGAGAGATAAGGTGTGTTACATGTAAGCTCATGAATTTGGACTTCCTAAGAGGTTACTCAGCCCAGTATTATTCAAACCCAAGGATGCTTAACCCCAAGTATCCCAAGACCCTTAACCAATTGAAAAAGGGGGTGCACTTTTATTTATAAGCCCTTTTCCTTTATATTTGAACTCTAACGGATCGTCTCTCAAGTCGTTTTCTTTGGTTGCTTACAATTCACTACACTTCTTTATAAGTTCACGCCTTTGTGAATGGAAGTTGAGAGTCACAGCTCTCTTGACACCCTACCCCTCAAGTCGAGCCCAACAAGAGCAAATTGGACCAACCAGATGTCAATTGGTAAATTGGAAGGATTGATAAATTGAGTGTGGAAATGGAGGTGTTGGTTCCCCTAGGCTCAATAGAGGTTGTTAGTCAATAGTCAATAAGGACATTAACATTTCTAAAAGGGGCACCATGTAAGATCAATAATCAATAAGGACATTGACATTTCTAAAGGGGGCACCGTGGAACTGCGGTTCCATAATGGAAGGATTGGTAAATTGAGTGTGGAAATGGAGGTGTTGATTCCCCTAGGCTCAGTAGAGGTTGTTAGTCAATAGTCAATGAGGACATTAACATCTCTAAAGGGGGTACCGTAGGACTGTGGTTGCACAATGGAAGGATTGGTAAATTAAGTGTGGAAATGGAAGTGTTGGTTCCCCTTGCTCAATAAAGGTAGATTGAGTATAAAAATGGAAGTGCTGGTTCCCTTTAGTTCACTAAAGGTTGTTAATCAATAGTCAATGAGGACATTGACATCTTTAAAGGGGGGTGAGTGTAACGTATGTAATCATGGGATGAAATTTAAATATACTGTCACTGTGGATCCTTGGAATTTTGGGGAATAAATGGGGATAAAATAGCCACTAAGGGCTCTCTCATCAAACAATTACCCCTTTTCCAGTTTGCTTAAAAGGAGAGAGATAAAATGTGCTACATTGATATGCATGTTTTTTGTATTCCCTTTCCTCACAGTTATATATTATTATAAATATTTTAGGGTTTTTGGCATTTATTAAGCTATTTTTTATAATAAAAATGAATTATTTTTTCTTTTTATAATCTATTTTAATTATTATGATTTAAAAATTTAGAGTATTACAAAAAAAGTGGCATTACAAAAATTACTGGTACTATATGATAACAGAATTGATAGGTAGGACATTGTAATGATGATTATTTTTTAAATATACACTAAAAAAGGTTATGTTGAAGTTTTTGTGGAAATGAAACTTTAATGTTCTTCAAATGATAATATTCCTTTATTAGTAAAGGAAAATATCCATATACTTTTTGTGTGTGTAGAAATATTCATCTTTAGAGTTTTTAATTTTATTATACAATATAAGTAACTTTTGTAAATCACTTGGTTTTGGTAACCTTCAAATCTTCATAAAAGGTAATAAATAAAAATAATTTTATAAGAAGTATTAAGAATAAAACAAAATTTTTATTATAAAAATTAACATTGAAAAAATATATATAATACATTTTGATTGCTACCAAATTTTAATTTCCAAATCTATTGTTTCATAAACTTGGAAACCATTCTGCTATTGCACTTGATAAAATTCTTTCCATTGAAAGGCAATTCCTCATTGCTACTTTAACATCTATTCTGTGGCTAAGGACAAAAACTAGATTGCTGGCCAACTAGGAGAGGTAAGCTTCCATTTATTCTACTTAGTTGGAAGATAAGAATCAGTACACTTTCGTTGGAAGAGGGTATTAAGAATGTTTTGAACCTTTCACCTTCTACTTGCGAGCTTTCTCAATCTTAAAAAATAAGAGAATGTGGTAAGATTGCTTTTAACTTAAGAAGCTTGTCAATGTTTTTTTGCAGCAGATCAGTCATTTTGGTCACCCTGAAGTGTTACAGCACAGTAAACTTATACATAAAATAATGAAATTTCTAGCGAATTTCTAGCTCCATAAATTTTTAGGGTTCTTGCGGGTGAGGAATCCGATGAAGCCACAATCTTTGTATAGTCCAAGGAGCATCGTGTTAGAACTAAGCTGAAGATACACACAACCAGGGCAGGTAGCTCAGTGGTAGAGCACCTGGCACCGGTGTAGGAGGTCCTAGGTTCAATCCCCAGCCTGTCCAGATCCATTTTCCAACATGGTATCGGAGCTATGGTTGGATGGCCTATGGTAGGCATGGACTGGCAGGTAGGGATGTGTGGCGTGTTCAGCTTAGGGGGGAGTGTTAGAACTAAGCTGAAGATACACACAACCAGGGCAGGTAGCTCAGTGGTAGAGCACCTGGCACCGGTGTAGGAGGTCCTAGGTTCAATCCCCGGCCTGTCCAGATCCATTTTCCAACACATCGGTCCTAGGTTCAATCCCCGGCCTGTCCAGATCCATTTTCCAACACATCGTTCTCACGCAGCAATCTTTGTAAAGAATGAAATCTAGAACAGTTTAAGAACTATTAAATTTACATCATGTGGAACACTGGAGTCTTGGTAAAAAACTCGGTGATCACCAAGGCGAGGAAGCCAAGCATCGCGGTTCGCCCATTCCAGCGCTCCGCCATGGCTCTAAATGGCCCAAACGATCTGCTGTCCGGGCTCTCGCCCTTAAACATGGGCACCAGCGACGCGTACGCGAATAGCTGTGCCACTGCCAAGAAATGGAAAAGACCAGTGCTCCCCGGCGAGTAGAGCTGCTCCGCCACGGTTTGTCCCGTCATTCGCTCCACCGCGAATGCCCACACCAATCCAATCATTGCCTGCTTGTCAAGTTCACGAAGTTACTTGCCAAGATCTAGAAGAACAACCAACAATCACTTACCAGTCTTCCGTTGATCGTTTCCGGGCCGGCTCCATCGAACGCCATCAAGCTGGGGAACGATCGATCTCCAGTCTCTGGTCGCCTCTCGACCTCTGGCCTGGGATAGAGCGATCCGGACGATGGGACGGCTCCAAACACGGAGCGCTTCTCCGACTCGTTCTCGGCCTGGTTCTTGAGCACCTCCTCGCGGGTGATCTCCTTCTTGGTGCCGTCAAGAACGCCACTGATGCCGCCATCACCACCATCCCTTGATTTGTTCGAGGACGCTCTTACTACTACTAGATTTCTTGTGCCGATGAAGCTTGTGGGCGATTTCGATTGGACACGGAGCTTGTTGGAGATGAGCGAGGAAGAAGAGAGAGCTGCGATACCACTGCCTGTGACGAGTGCCATTGTTTTGAGCTGGGAGTTAGCTAGCAAAAAATCAGTGAGCAATGAATTTACGATGAGCTACTTTCTTCTACGTTTGAGATGGCTATGGCAAATGGCACACAGGTATTTATGTAGTATGGGGATCGTACGTGGCAAAATCTAGATCCTGGCTCGTGTCCACTGTATGTGTCGCACATCTTGTGCGGTGAAAATGGCCGAAGTAAGACTTCTCGGGAGAATGCAAGGTGTGATACTTTGGGACTTTCGTTTCGTTTCGCAATAGAAACGGCACACGGGGATGCACTTTTGTCTTGAGTGTTAATGTAATACCGTTAATCTTCGTCAAACATTCCTGGAAGGTTTACTCGAGAGCACTTCCGGCGCATCAAACTCGACTATCTCTGCTGTATGTATCACGAGAAAGAAAGAAAAACGAGTTCCAAGACCACCTCAAAACATTAAACAAGATCAAACAGATTTTGTGATCCGAGAAGTGGCAGGCTTGGAAGAGATGGGACACAGCCTGGGAGCGCAAATCCATGGCTCTCCCGACCCACGATCGCTGACAAGCTTGCCATGAATCCTCTGGCCGGGATCTCTCGAGGCCAGAGCTCTTCCCAGCCGCAATGAGGGTATGGCGATCGGGCGTGGCTGCTGCTACTCCATGAGAAGCTCCGGTGGTGGTGAGTAAAAGCAGGGCCATCGATCGATCTATGTCTGTGTGCTCATGCTTCGAGGGATGCTGGCTGGTGGTATCAAGAATGCCAGGGAACGTTGCAGCCTTTGCCTCGCACGGGCATTTCTTCGGGGCTCTTGCTTTGCACCGCAGTTATTGTTATGGGATGGCTTGACACAGCGACATTCTTCTCCACGGATCTTGCGTTGGTACGTATAATGCGGGCCTGGAAGCAAAAGATACGTCGAAGCATTTGCCTGGCTTGGGTATTTTGTGTGGCGCATGTTTGTTAGTGTGCCCCGAAGACTCTTGAGGCAGCATCCAGCTCACCACTTGCTTGTATGTCTTGGATTGCTTCTTGCACAACGACATGCAGGAGGAGGAATATGAGCAAGCGGTGGAAGGCAAGCAGCCATATCGTGATTCTGAGCAAGGAAAATGAGGTAGCCCAGCTAGATTGTGCGCCTGTCTTGTACAGCAAGCTTGTCCTCTTTCATCAGTCCAGAGGACTTCCATCTTTATCTTCAGGGTAGCTGATCATATTGTTTTTGGACGAGTCTTGGAACTGCATTCAAAGAGCAGCAAGAAGCTTTGGAAGGAACACCATGGGCTGGTTTTGAAGAAATGCATTTTCATCAATCCATCACCAGCTGCTCAGAAGGTGACTATTTAAGTCCAATGAACCGAACCTTTATTGGGAAGCTGCAGCTCCGACACCTCTTCAAAACCAGCCCATTCAATGATGTTTGAATGGGGAGGGCTCCAATGAATGGAAGAAAATGAAGTGGTATGGTCTGTGGTGTCAAACTTGCCTGCCAAGTTTGATGAGCCTATTGATTCTTTGCGGTATCATGAAGCCGAATGCGAATAGTTTAATTATTTTTATTATGAATTATTCATGAATATTTATTTTAATTGAAACTAAAATAATTTACAGTTTATAATGACATGAAAAATATTTATGAAAATACATCCACTGCTACAACGCTAATATTAGTGTAGCATATCGACCAGATTGAATCTCTTTCCTATATATAAGCAAAAGTCTATTCACACACTAATTGCATTTAATAGCTACACTAGGTGTTTAAGAAAGTTTATTAATTAAAGCACTATCACGTATAAGTTTGGATAAGGTGTAGCTTTTGTGGATTGCAAGTGACAAAAAACTTAAGTACTTTGCAAATTGCGAACTCTAAGACAACTGCATTGATCATATCCACATCCAATATAGTACATTGTCGCTGTTGGCTCTCCAGAAAGGAGCTCTCACAGAAATCTCCATTCTAATGAATATGAATATCCAATATGCCCGAATATCCACGTCTTGAGTTTATTCATAGAATATCCTTTGGAGTTGTTTTAAATGCTTGCGCCCACGAGGAACTCGTTATCGCTTTCCACAGGACGGAAGGACGATGGATACCTTTTGCCTGTACATACACACACACACAAAGAACGTGGAAATAAATTCCATGAAGGATTTAGTGACGAGAGTTTTACCAGAAGCAAGCATATGATTTTGAAGGAACGCAAGGCAAGCTCTACTGTTGATATCTTTCGCGAGCTGGACGTCGAGATCTCCAGACAACCTTGGAAAGAAAACGAAGAGAAACATGGAGCGAGCTTTGAACCAGTACGAACTTACTTGAGTTTCTTGGACATCATCGTAAGAAACAATGGAAAATCAGATTGATCCTGGTGCTCGGTGTGCTACAAATGCGAGAAGATGAATGTAAACTTCCCCGAGTGAGAGAAATCAAGCAAAGCTGACCTTGATCGTCAAGAGCTTGGTTTCAAGAGATTGCCCGTCCTTGGTTTTCGTCCCAGCTCTTGCATTGAGATACACAAGACGAGCTTCTTTCAAGGCCTTCCAATCGAAGTTTTCAGTGTTAAGCAGGAGAACGGGAACATGTCCAGAGACCTTCTCATAGTCTACCTGCGGAGCAAAAAGTCTCATGAGAAGATCAAAGATCAAGCGGGCTTACTTTTTCCACGGGCTCCCACCAGACGTCTAGCCCGAGCGAGCACTTGAAACGGGTGGTGATAGCTCCAGGCGCTATGATCGCAGTTGCTCCGCCAAAAGAATGTCCAGCAATGGCTATTCGATCCAAGTCCATCCTCCCTTTGAACATGGTAACGTCCAAGCTATAGTCTCCAGTGACTAAGTTGGAGCTTATACTTCCATTGTTTAGCTCGTCGAGCCCATGAAGGACGAGCTCAATCTCCTTGACTCTCTGATACATTGTAAAAAGCATGAAACTACAAGAACCAAAGAGGAGGAAAAAAGAAAAAAAGTTTCCTGGACACACCTGTTTGAGTTGCATGCCGCGATCCTTCATTTTCAGATCGTGCAAGTTTGAATTGGCGTACTTGTGCTCAATCCATCTCTCCGATCCCTTGTTGTCAATGTAACTGGCAATGCTCGCGGAGCCATCTAAATGCTCCGGAGCCACAACGACTGCCATGACAACTTCCCAAAGTTTAGAAAAGATTCACGAACAAACAGAAAGAAAAGCTAGAAAAGCTCGAAGAACGACATAACTGTACCCATACGACGCTAGATCCGAGCAAAGCGTGCTGTAAGTTGCTCTACAAGCCCACAAACCATGGGAAAAAACCACCACTGGGAATCTCTCCTCCCCATCCTCTACCAAAATTGGCTGCGCTGCCGCGGCCGCGATCACTGCCCCAGGCCAGAGCATTGCATAAAACACACCTGCGAGAAAAAATATAGAATAAATCAAGAGAATCGAGGAGATCATCCACAGGGAGACGATTACCCGCAAAGATCCACAGCATCGCCCTGCGCATCGCCGTCTTCGGCCGCGCCATATTGCACAGGTATCCAAACGCGTAGGCGACGCCGGGCAGCCAGCGGCATTTCTTGGATTGCCGCTGTGCGGCGCTCGGATAGAACACGCGCACCATCGGCGGCTGGAGCGCGCCATCGCCAGATCCCTTGGCGAGCTGGAAATCCCCAAACGCCACCGGGAAACGGCCCAGGAGCTTCGCCATAGCTCCACTCGCTCAATCCAGCAAAGCAAAAAAGTGAGTCTATAGATTCCCCTAG